GAGAGGAAAAATCAGTCTCTATTTACCCCAAAACAATGTAAACTGAAACGTGAGTCCTTTTCTCGTGTTTAAAGGGCGTCAGTTCAGTTAATACACACAGATATGCCAAAATAATCACAAATTCTTTTGATTTTATGTATTTTATTATAAAAATAATCTGTGATATATGCGATGAAAATTAACTGAACACCAAATAGCTTTGCATCAAAGGTCTAATTGATTAGGAAACTTAAAAGGCAGATTTTAGACTGGTTCCTGTTTGTGCAGTGGTTAAAAATTGTGTCTAAGGTGAGCGATAGTTTGTCTGATAAGTTGAGATGTAGGGTCACCAGAAAGGCGTCTCTCTCCTACCAGGATGAGATGGTCAGAGCATGTTTCCAACAGCTGCTTAAACTGATACCAGCAAGAGATGCTCCGGTGACTGAGAGGCTGATTGTCTCCTCCAAGTTCACCTATCATCGGTTGGAGGACGAAGGTCCGGCCACTGGCTCTGAAGTCAGCTGGGATTTACCACTGCGGAGTGATGGTTCTGGTTCGCTCAGGTTCTGTATCTTTCTCTCGTCCTGAGACGTCTGCAGAAAGGATGCTTCTCTCTGAGTCCAGTGCAGAAGCTGGGTTTCTTCCCTCCCCAGTTCCGAGCTCCAGTGTAGTAGTGTGTAGAAGAAGAAGTGAAACCTAACTGTCTGTGTAAAAACAGAAATGAAGGTCCACCTCAGGAGGGATGGTCCTAACTCTTGGCCGTGTTTTTTATAAAGGCCTCTTAAATAAATCTATAGTCCCTTTCTCTGCCTTAAAAGTTTTCCTTTTAAAAGAGAAAAATAAGATAAAAGTTTATCTTAAAGAGAGACGACTTAAAACACACATGTTCATGAATAAACATTCAGCTATAAAATAAAACAGAAGTGACATCTTTGATTTAATAACGTGCAATGTTTCATCAAAAGGTGCCCACCTCCTGAAAAGGAGTGTCATTGAACAAAGGGTTCTTTAACGCGTTATCGTCATGGGAACCCATTCTGGGAGTGATGCTCCTTTTTGATAAAGGTGAAATATCAACGATGTTTCAAAACTTCGAGGTCAGTTGAACCAAAACTCGTTAAACGATCTGTCCGTTTCATGGGAAACGAGTTCATAGTGACAGGTTTTATAAAAAAATTACATTTACTGAGAAGTTTGTGAGCACCTGCAAAACAGTGTGTGGTTAACTGTTCATTTCTGGCACATGGGCCCACATTTCCTGGTTGTCAGCGGTGATGCATAATAAATGTGACGTATACGGCGAAGCGACATATTTATGGATTTTTCCACGTTTTTAAACATATTTGAACTGATGCGACAAGTACGGCGGAAAGTACGTTAGTTGTTCGAAATGTTTGATAAAATGCAGATAAAGTCAACTTGTTGTTTCAGTGAAGGATATGGGGACCGGATTGAGATTGTCCAAGGGCCACTTTTGCCTATGTTTAGTCCAGGATGACGCCATTGGGAATTTCAGCCCTATATTTAAAAAGGGAACGACAAATTACCTAAACATTATATGAAGGGATTTCCAAGTGCTACGTCAAGTGTCGATTTCAAAAGAAAATTACAAAAGTTTAACACCAAGATTTATTTACTGTTGGAAACCGCTACATTAATTTTAGTATTTATGTATGTTTTAAGGTTTTATAAACCCCACACTCTTACAATGTTCTAAACTCAAACCTCCTAATTTTAGCGACATACTTGTATGAGCGCAGCACCTACCACTGCGGGTCCCCGCTCGGAAGTCCCCGTGTGCCGGCTACCAGTTCTCGTGTTCGCCGTTGGGTCTGGGGGTTTAGTTCTGGTCCGGTTCCATGCGGCTCTCTGAATCCGCTGGGCACCGAAGTCACTAAAGGACCAAAATTTTTCCGATCAGATCAAAACTTGCCCTCTAGTGTTTCAGCAGAAGGCAACAGGGCTTCTTGGTGGGGCACTGTTTGCTTCTGGGAAATGTAGTCTTTATGAGCGGTGATACAGTGTTGGCTTATTGAGAGAAGACTACAAAATGGTGGTGCCTGTCCAAAGTATTTAATCTTTTCATTAACTTTTTACTGTACAGTATCCCATACTTTTTCCAATCACGAGAGTAATATTAAAGTTGACAATCGCGTCCTGTACATTTTTTTTTTCCTCGTGTACAATCTTACTTTGAAAACCACAAAAGAGCGAGTCCACGAAAGTTGAACCGCAAAGTAGTGAAGGACTACTGTATTCTATTTTAGATACCGGGATCATCAGATTTGGTCTCTATGGACTTTAATTTTACGCTAAAATCAATATTTTCACTTATTTTCCTCTGCAGCTCATTCGGGCTCATTTTGCACCGTGGGTCACTTTTATTTTGAGTGAATCGTTTGAAATTGAAAGAATAAACTGTTTTTCCTTTTTGTTTATTTTTTTTATAGGAGGGTGAATCTGGGCCTCTCTGGTGTGAACATCTTGTGGATATTTGAAGACTGAAGTTTTAAATGCTGTTGTTTTGTTACAACACCGTGTTGTAAGGCTTGCTCTTTCATTTTAAAGTTCAGAAAACGTTCTCCACGTTGGACGTTGTCTCATATTTTCTGTAAAAACTGGCAACATTTTTTCTTAACATTTTAGGATTTTTTTTTTTTGCATCACAAAGCCCTTAAGAGGTTTGTTTTAAAAAAAATATTTTTTCCTTCCTGGCTTTGTCATTCGAGAATGTACCAGCATGTCAGCCTCGGATACCTCACATTTGTTTACTTGACAGCAAAGGGCTCCGACCCATTACCCTGAATGTAAATAGAGTATTTGTCATTGCTCAAACATGTTTTTTGACACAAGATGTAAAAAAAAAAGCTGAGATATTAAAAAGGAAACAACTTTATTTTGGTCTTTTCTTTCAAATATTTGTACTTGATAATGTAAACATCCTCTTGGTGGCAGTATAAGTCGTTTTTAATGCTTTGGCCTTAATGCTGTACCCATTTAGTCAGGATGTGCCACCACAGATGTTTTCTGATGCAGTGTTGTAAAAAATACTGTCAGATAATGTTGCACAATTGTAAAACGTATTCTTTCACTTATAAAGAAGCCCTTCATAACATTCATTTTTAGCATTCCCATAATCGATATCATAAAATCGTAAAAATATTATACAGGGCATTTAAACTTTTTACGTGAATTTGTTAAAACCTTTAAATATTTTGCAAATTTAAGTCGTCATTCCAGCTGCACTGTCTCCACACCTTTTTCTTTTGGGAAATGTAGACAAAATGTACTTCTGGAATGTTTAATTTGCTAAATTAGATTGTTTGTCGAATTAATTGTTTCCTTCTCAGAGATTTGCTGGAAATTCACAAATCACTGTTTTCATTGCTGTTAAGAGTTGCTCTGTTTAAAGGTTAGCGAAGCAAATCGCGTGGAACTACAACTCCCATAATGCACCTGGCGGCGCTCGCTCCGCTCACATCCGGCTCGAGCTGCTATCAGAGGAAAAAGGACTTAGAGCAACTGCGGCGATGTCAGTCCAGGTTGTGGCAGCGAAAATGGCAGAGGTCGAGCTCAAAGACGTGTCCCCCGGTAAAGACCTGCCGGCCGAGTCCCCGGTGACACCCACGTCCGAGGACAAGACCATCGCCAGGAAGGACCCGCACGAGGCCGGCTCCTCCGCCGCGGAGCCCTCCGCGAAAGCTGGGGAGGGCAGCCGGGGCTTGCTCACCCCGAACGCCGCGAAGATGCCTCAAGCTTCGGCTCTGAAGCATCCGGACCCACAGCAGAATGGCGGGGAGGCGTTTGTCAACCGGGACGGGACCGTGGCCGAGGCTCCGCGGATGAAGAAGGTGAGTGATTCAACACTACCCCCCCTCAATGGAAGTACGGACTGGGTTTTGGAGCAACACCAGGACCTCGCGCTGGGGAAGCGGGCATTGTGTCTATGCTAACAGGCTAACTGGTCCCAGAGATGATCCGTGCGTGCCGGTGAACGCGTTTCATTGTAGCCGGCGGTGCCAGCAGCTCGGTTAGGCTGTGAATGGGGGCTAAACGCCTTTAAGGACATGTTAGTTTCGGTTAAATCTGTCTGACTCGAGCTATATTAGGGACAGGAGTGTCCTCAAAGTTTTAAAAAACAGTCAGTTTCTCATTTGATCCCTATGTTGATGCTTTAAGTTTAGACGTTTGTGGTCTAAATTAAGGTTTTGCGTTTTAAAAATACAATTGTTTCCCTGAAATCCACGAGGTCTGATGTGTTCAGGTTTATGATGTGGTTTTCTTCAATCTCAGCTCACATAGAAACTACAGACTTCCTGTTTGTGGGATGACTCAGGGGTGAAGCTGATGTTAAAACTATTTAGAAAAATACGTGATTGTGCAGGATCGAAGTAGAAGTGAAGGGCAGTGTTGAAGAGGAAAACACGTGAAGTGCACGTGAACGACTCTCAGCTACTTCCACAGCAATTTGTCAGCAAATTATCTCAAATTGATCGAGTTGTAGGCACTTTTGTGTTGGCTGTCGATTAGTTGTGGCAACCTTCTTAAACTGGGTTGACTCAAAGTTAATCAGATGTAGATGTACATCCAGTGAGAACTTAATGGGAATTTGAGTTATTTTGCTAACAGACACCCTATTGCATAGACACTATTGCTCTTTTGCCTTTGGCGGTGAGGGATGTCTAAGTTGGGTGAAAATTGAGGACAAGATTGGAAACACTCATCACCCAATGCTCCAGCTGGACCACCATCACTTGGTGATGCTGAGCTGAAGCCATCTTGATCTTTGCATCCGCTCAGTGAAGGAACGGCCGTCAGTCCAGCAGCAGCGTCAGGTGGACATCAATGATGTGGACGTCCTCCAGGAGTCGGGAAGAACCAAGTCTGGAGTGAATCCTGAAGCGTGACATCTGGATTAGAATCATGGTCCAGAACATTGCTTTTCTTTTTTTATGCTATAAAAATGGCAAACACTTAATTAGTAGCTGCTTTTAAATGAGTTTCATCGTCAAGAGTGGGATTATATTGGGAAATTATTTTGTTTCGTCTTGGTTGAGTTGGATTTTATTAGAGCCCGACTGATATGGAAATTTTGGCTATCGTCAATACCAATACTGGGAGGGCAAGGCTATAATGCTGATGACCATTATAATGGCTGGAAATATTCTGAGCTTTGTCCACCCCCAAGAATTTAAGTAAACAGCTACTTTAAAACACTTGAAGTAGGGATGCACTATATTGGATTTTTGTCCAATACTGATATTTTTAATATACTTTCCTTTGTCAGAACATAGCCCTCTTATTTAGACTTATTTGCTACAGAATATGTGTAAGAGCTGGTGACATATATTCAGTAACAGCCGTATGCATAGCACTTTAACTTGGTCACCTGCGATGCTGTCTCGCTTGTGGAGGCTTGTTCCTGGTTCCTAAAGCTGCGGTGTGGGATCCTCTGCACTCCTGTGCATGAAGGACAGCCTTTTTAAGTTCAAAGTTTTTCTATCCATTGTGCCGTAAGACTAATCATGCTAACGGGGCTAACACGACATCAAATGTCTGTGGTAAAACTCACCCAAGTGCTATCGGCTATTAGCTTCTCAATGACGTCGGAAAAAAATATCTCCAGCTGGGGACGATGTAGCGAGGCTCAACGTAGTCCAGTAATCTTTGGAACCAGACATCCTCAATGAAAAAAAACTTCCACACTCCTGCCATTTGACTTCTTCCTCTCCGCCACGTTTAAGGAATGGCCGATATTTAACTTTAACGCTAATATCGGCCGATACGGATACCATGCAGAAAATATCGTGCATCCCTAACTTGAAGTCTTGAAACAGTCTTCCTAACGTGCGTTCACGTTCCGTCATCCACTAGTCACCATAAAGTTATCAAGTTTGCTACATAAATATAAATTAAACAAAGAAACGCCCTTCCCTGTCCCTACGATGGGACAATTATCACAGTTTCCGATATGTTCCCGAATGCCAATGTTGGCCTAAAATATCAATCTAACCGATATATCGGCTGGGATTTAGATTTTATTGGAACTTTCATAAAGTCATCAGTGGCAATATGCCCTAAATTTTGTGCTCAACTCGATTCAAGAGTCTAACTAACATGAGCACAAAAAACCCCCCCAACAAGCTCTATAGGGAGTAGCTGAGAGTCATCCCCAGCACACATCCAGAGCACTAACAGATGGGGAGCGAAACATCCATGGAACTCCTGTCGTTTGATTTATTCTCATTTAACACAAAATAATGGTTTGAAACTCTGGCCTGGCTTTTGTCGTTGGAGCAGAACCCTGTTGAGTTTTCCCGTTTAATTCCTAAAGTTTAGTTAAAGCGCTTGATGTGCTCATCCTTCAGATCAGAAGGTTCCTGAGCGTATTTATAGATACGGCTGTGTCGGTCCTACAGCGCTCTGCATTATAGATATATATATATACAACCACAGCTTGGCCTTTATAATCTGCTGAGCTCCACTTGTCCAGTGTAAAGGTTTAGCTCTGCGACTCACGATGCGAGCACAGAAGCAGACATCAGTGCTGACGGACTGACGGAGTGACTGGCTAGCTCTTAATCCTCGCCTTGATCATGTCGCCACATGAGGGGATTAAAAGGCCATCTCTCTGTTGTAGGTGAGCCCAGATGTAAGCGTTTTATGGTTCTGCATGCAATGAGTGTGATTTGTAGCTTGGTGCAAATGCTCTCCAGCATTATTATTATTATTTTTTTTGCAAGTGCACGTCTTCACGGACGCTTGCCACCGCCATTGCTTCAGAAGGGTTACCTGCTGCACTGATGGGACTTTTATTCTGAAACAGTTGTGCAGGATGTAGAAGTGAAAATCAATGATTAGCCAATTTCGTACACCTGTATTTTCGTCAGCTTGTTAAAATTTCTAAAAGTTGTACCATTATTTGGACAAGTGAAGGTAATTTTACATTTGATGGCAGCAACATGTTTAGTTTGTCTTGAGTACTTCTCTGAAAACGTCATCTAGATGGAAGCAGAGTTTGTTCTAAAACCTGTACCTGTAGATCCGCCCATGCCAGAGGTACTAATGCACCCCCATACCATCAGAGAGGCAGGCTTTTGACCTGTGTGCTGATAACAAACTGGATGTTTTTTCTCCTTTTCAGTACAGACGACGAGGCGTCTGGTTTGATTTGTCTGACCTCAGAACAGTTTTCCACTTTTTCTCAGTCCGTTTTAAATGAGCTTTGGTCCAGAGAAGACGTTCACATACGGCTTGCTCTTTGCACGATAGAGCTTTAGCCAGTAATTGTGTGCAGCTTACAGAAGTGTTTCTGAGCCCGTGCAGTGGTGTCTAGAACACAATCTGCCCTGTTTTTAATGGAGTGACCCTCGAGGGCCCAAAGGTCGTGGTGTCCAGTATGACGTTCAGCCTTGTCCTTTGAACTCAGAGATTTCTCCAGATTCCTAAACTCTGTCGATGATATGGATTGTAGATACATTTTCCACTGAGGAGCATCATTTTGAAATTGTCCCACTATTTTTACATTTTCACAGACTGGTGAACCCCTGCCCATCTTTACATCTAATAGATTAAGTGCTGTTTTTATTCCCAGTCCTGATACGGACCTGTTGC